TTTGGTAGGGGTGGTGGCTAAAGCCTGGATTCCAAGACACAAGGCAGCCTGGGCGGGGCAGACCAAACACTAGCTTGAGAAGGAGCAGGGAGGAGGAAGACAGTTCAGTCTTGCTACCTAGTTGTTCAGTTCTCCCTGCCTTCTCACAATACAAACCACCAATCAAAATTTAAACAGGAAATGACATTGGAGAGAGGACCACTGATCAGAGCTGATATTTTCATGGACCTCTGCAACAGGAAGTCCCAGGAGGAAACAGGAAGCACTTCACTTTCCTCCATTCTACATTTCCTTAAAGGAAACGTACTAAGTCACCTTGCGTGCTCCCTCACTACTGTGATGTGCATGGCCAGAGGAGCCTGGGAATCACCGGACTATGACAGAAGGCCAGCAGTGGAGCACAGAGGAGCCAGATTAGCCGCTCAGTCTTACCATCATCTTCCCCTGGTTTCAGGCAGAACAGAGAGGAAAGAACTGGGCAGCCTCTCCAGAACACAGAAGAGATGTATGTACCCTTCTTAACTGTAGTGGTACCCACCCACCTGCTCTTCAGCTCAACAGTGAAACAAAGAATCCGCAGCATCTACTTGTAGGGAGGGACATGAAGGGACACCTGCTTCCTGAGTCAGAAACACCAACCCACACAGTCCCTCTTCCGCCAGTCACTAATATCAACATGGGGCCAATAAGAAGCTCTCGAATGAGAAAAGTGACATATGTCCATAAAGCTGAAGGGGTCAGCAGACTGACACACATCTGTAACTTGGGTACTTGAGGCACTGGGCGCGAGGACTGCTAGTTTCGGCCACCCAAAGGTTCAGAGTAAGACCCCAAGACCCTGTCAAAAAAAAAAAAAAGCCAGGCTGTAGTAGCACTCGCTTTAATCCCAGCACTTGGGAGGCAGAAGCAGGCCGATCTCTGTGAGTTTGAGGCCAGTCTGATCTACAGAGCAAGTACCAGGACAGTCAGAGATGTTCCACATAGAAACCCTGTCTCAAAAAAAATAGTACTATGACCCAAGAGGGAAAGGCTTCTTTCTATAATGACTGAAAAACTGGAAATATTATTTACTCTATAGTACTATTTAAAAAGAAAGCAAAGCATCTAAAAGCAAGACAAAAAGAAAGGAAAAAATGATCAAAATTAAAAAGTAAACTGGGACCCAGGTATGGTAGTAAACACATATAATCCTAGCAGCAGGAAAACTGAAGTAAGAAGAAGACAGGCAGATTAAGGCCAGCCTGGGCTACATAACAAGTACCAGGCCAGGCTAGCTCACAAGATCCCAGTCTGAGAATCAGAAAAGAAAAGGAAAAGGGGGAAGTTAAAGGAAGGAACTTCAAACAGAAAAGACCAAAAGCTTAAGGTCTACACTATAGACAAGAAAGAGAAGTATGAAAATTTGAAGTTAGTGTTGTAGGATATACTCTTGAAATTATTTCCCAAAACACAGAAGATCACAATGAAAATAATGCCAACTGATTAAGAGAAGCAACAAAGAGCACAGATACAACCTACACGCCTCACCTAGAAGGTGTCAGTCAGTCACAGGTCAACAACATCAGGAGAACCAGAGCTTTTCATCCTCTCTGACTGTGACGACGACCTGCACACCCCACACAAGTGCCAGATGGTCAACTGCCCTACACGGGACCTTAAAAGAGCTTGAAGAGACAAGAGATTCCATTGGGCAGCTTCAGAATGCAAGCAGTCCGGGGCTCTACCATAGAGGAGCAAGGCAAAGGCTTTTCCTGAGAGAACACAGAACAAGACAATGCAGGATCTGAAGGCTGTAAGGGAAGCAATGGCTTTCCTCAGGTCATTCCAGTGGAAATTCCTAAACTAGGGGTCAGCCACTAGTGAGAGCTGCCATTCTGTTTTCCTTGAACATGACGGTTTCCACTGAGTTGAGTTTTGTTTGCTGATGTGGAAACCCATAGTGAAGGCACACAGGAAGCTGTGCTTTTATACAACAGGGGTATATTTTCTTCTTTCCTTTGACCAGCATGAAGCTCAGAACTTCGTCTCAGACTACTTTTGGTGATCACAGAGAAATGGGGGAAAAACGTGCAACCTTGCAAAGCCTGTATTTCAGTGTGACTCATCCTAATGCCATCGTCTATCTGAGCTCCATATCTTCATGACCATGACTTATCTGTTATTATATCACTTATGGGTTATAAGTCACCTCAAATACTTCTGGGACAGACAGAATTCGAACTTCAAATTATAACCAACCCAGATAAAAAGGCTAATAGAAAAAAAACCAGATGACAAGACAGGAAGGAAAAAAAAACATACTGAGCCCTCAGTGCCACCCTGAGAGATGTGAGACTTTTAGGAAGTATAAATCATGGCTTTGCTTTCAATAATTGGTAATCAACTGTCTATGAAATTTTTCAAGCTGAAAGAACATTACTGCAATACAATCAAATCAATGATAAATTATACAATGTTATTTAAGGAATTAGTATAGGCTAACGTAATAATTAAAAATAGCATTATTAAGCCTTTCCTATGCATCAAAAATCACAATAACTAAAGTCTTCATAGCATCTCTATGAGGTATCTTAGTATGATTTTCTCTATAGATGGGGAAATTGGGCTACAAAATAAATATCTTGTTATAGCTGTTAACGGTAGTAAGTCGGCCAAAAACTTCCAAACATTACAGCCTATGCTCTAGAGGAAATGAGACTTCAACTAGTCCTAGAATTATGAAATGAAACAAACTGGTATCATTGAGTTAGTGATGGTGGTGGGGGGAGGGTAATGACCCTAGGAATAGGTTGAAATGACCCAGAGTGGACAAGGAAATAGCCTGACTAGATTGTCGATTGAGGACTACAGGAAAATCTGGGGAACAGGAAGCAAGCAGTTTACAAAGAGCCTTAAAACTCAAAAGGCTCCATTTAAAACAGCGAGCAATAGCAAACACTGTAAGGCCCCAGAGCACAAAGCGGTACACGAAAAGCTATTCTTGGAAAGATAATAGACAAATGCACAATGCTATGAAATAACCCTAACTTGAAAGGCAAACTCTTAGTGATTATTCTTCTTGGTCCCTATAGACTAGTGAGCATTTGATGTACCAAGCATAGCAGAGGGACCTCCACTTCCACAAAGGCTGCCCTCAGGTGGAGCATATTTTCAGTTGTCCTACTTTCTAAGTGCCTTACAGCCTGTTTGGCCCATAAAGACCTTCATTTTCAATGTACCATCACCAAATAACCTCTATATCTCTGTCTTTTGGATGTTGATTATACTTGTGATTCGAACATAACCTCTGAGGTCCAAAGCACATCTTGAGGCTTCAAAAATATTAATATTCACATCAATCCCAGTCCAAGGCTCTCTACTTATGGAAGCTTTACTGTTTTTCCTAAAACTTTAAGAAGTACTGCCAAGATACAACTTGTTCTGGGCACAGTAGTACATGCCTATAATCTAAGCACTTCAGAGACAGGCAAGAAGACATTGAGGTCCACACTAGACTGGACTCCGAAAGACCCTGTCTCAAACATAAAAAAAAGGGGTGGGGGTGCGGTGTCACGGCTGGCAGAGTGATTGCCTAGTCTGCACACAGGCCTGAGTCCAATTCCCAGCACCACACACACTGGGTATCTGTGACGGGCACACACCAACACTTAGAAAGGAGACTGGAGGATCAGTTCAAGGCCAGCCCCAGCTGCCCAGGCAGCACAAGCCTAGCACAGTCTAAAAAAAGTGAGAAAGAGAAAGATACAATTATCTAACGTCATTTTCTTACGTACCCCACCAGGTAGAACACAATCTTTAATATTATCCTAATCTTGTAGCATCCCTATTCAAATGAATCAAGCTGAAAACTATTCCCACTAGTTTCTTCCATTAAAATATAAATAGCAATGTTCTGCTTGCTTTTGCTCATTGAGACAGGATCTGGCTGTATGTAGGGCAGGCTAGCTTCAAACTAGAGATGGTTCTGCCTCCAGCTACAGCATGCTAGGATGACAGTGACCGTGACCGGCCAGCAAGCTCGGGAATGACGTTTTTCAAAACTGCGCTCTGGGAGACTTTAACTTCCTCATGACTCGAGTTTCTTTTTCGGCTAAGGTTTTCATTTTCGTGTCTCTTTCTCTTGTCAATATCTATCTGAAGCTTGGGAAACAATGAGGAGTAATACCTGGGAGCCTAAAATGGATTTGGGCACTGCAGAGTCTATGTTCCCTAACCCTAACAATCATAAACAGATACTTTTGCCACCACAACGGAGGCCACTATCAGATTATAATGACTCAAAGTAAGCTTTTGGCAAAGAATGATTGGATTTAGAAAGAGCGAGCCGACTGACGAAGTGCACTCATAACATGAGAAAATGAGTGCAAACGCTGAAGCTAACCTGATGGCTCCTGTGACCTACGACTGCACCTGCAGTCCCAGCTCCTCTGAAGACAGGCTGAGCCCACTAGCACTTGGGAGACTCGAGGCACGATTGCACGGAGTTCGAGGCCAGCCAGGGCAGACCCTGTCTCAAAAACAAACCCACGATATTTTTTCTTCTTATGTTTGGAAGCTATTTGCACCTTGTCAGAAGCATGGACCTGCAGCAATCAGGACTCCATTTTGATTGGGAAAGGACATGTGACCACCCCGGGTTTTACAACCAAAATTTTCATAATTATCACTACAACTGAAAGTATGTCTTCTATAAACCAGTGAATTATTCATCTCCGACCCCCCCCCCCCCCTTCTCAGTTTTATAGACTGGGGCGTGGAGGGGGGCGCGTATTGGCTGCAAAAGCCCTCTAGATGGTGGGCCTGCCAGTCACTTCACTTCCTTTGTTTCAAGGTCACGTGAGCACATTCCAAGCACAAGGAGGAAGGTCGCCAGGAGGCCCGCGCCCGTCTCCCCGGCCATTTGTTCCGGACCGGCCGCTCCGCCGCCCTTCTGCGGTCCCGGGAGGCGGGCGAGGGCTGCGGGCCCCAGAGACGGAGGCGCCGTGGCTATGAGTACTCACCCCGCTCGCTCGCCCTGACCGGCAGCCGGCGGCGCGCAGAGGGCGGGGCGCGGCCGGGGCGGCGGGGCGGGAGGAGGAGCCCCGCCCGCGCTGCAGTGAGCGTGCGCAGTGGGGCCGCCCGGCGCCTGGGTGACATCCCGGCGAGACCTTCCTGCAACCTGTGCACCCGCCGCCGGTCCCAGAAGCAAATCCACTCGGGGTTGTCGGTCAGGCAGCGGCCGGTGAGGAAGGCCGCTCGCATCCCCAAGAGCTTAGAGAGCCATGCCACTCTGGTCGCTGTCACCCATTTAAAACAAGACTGGAGCAAGAAGTTAGGAATTCGAGTGCTGACAAACTGTAGCGTTTGTGGCACAAAAAGAGGAAATTCCAATCCAAAATGAAACGGGCAATGTCAGGGACAAGGGGGAAAAGTCAGCGGATGTAGGAATCTATGGGGTCACGGGAGGGAAAGCGCATTTGCGCCTTTAAACAAGAGAACATTTCTTACAAAAGAAAGTAAACAGAAAAAAAAAACGAAAGCACAGTCGGTTTTCAAATCTCAAGACCGAGGTTTTGGTCTTGAGCAGGTTGTGTAAGATTACCATGTTAAGTAGCTAATGAATCCCTGGGACCTAGGTAATGTTTTTTGCAATTTCTTTAGAATCCATATTGTTTTGAAATAAGTTGATTTGTGTGTGTCCTTTTGTTTCTTTGTTTTAAATGGACAGAACACAAATCAGTGATGTCCTATGGCAAGAGATGGGGGGAGGAGCTAACTTTAAAAGGGCACTTAGAATTTGGAAGGATGCTAGAACTGTTTTTGATCGCTGGTTTTATTGATGTTAAACTACTATTTTGTCAAAAACAGTTAAATTTTGCTGTGTGCAAAACAGTTTTTTTTTGGAGGGGTTGGTTTTTTGTTGTTGTTGTTGTCGTTGTTTGGTTGTTTGGTTTTTGTTTGTTTGACTTTTCAAAAAAGGGCTTCTGCGTAGTCCTTGCTGTCCTGGAATTTGCTCTGTAGAACAGGCTGCCCTCAAACTCAGAACTTCAACTAACATTTTTGAGCAACTATTAATTGGTAGCCCCATTTTTTGTTTTGTTATTTGTTTTTTGAGAAAGGGTTTTTCTGGGTGGCTTTGGCTGTCCTAGAACTTTCTCTGTAGGCCAGGCTGGCCTCAAACTCACAGAGATCTGCCTGACTCTACCTCCAGAGTGCTGGGATTAAAGGTGTGCACCAGATAGCCCCCAATTTAAATTATTAATTTAATTTTTTTTAAATGAGGCTAGCCTGGAAGTGCAAATACTAATACAGCCGCCTCTGAGTATTAAGATTAAAAGTCTGGGACACATTAATCTGCTTCTATTTGATGTATTCTTTTGTTCTGAAGTATAAAAAGTTATTTGTGAGGCATGGTGGCTCATGTTTATAATCCCAGCACCCAGTGAAGCAATGGGTGGGGGCAGGAGGAGTTCAAGGCCAACCTGGGTTGCAAAGCAAGTTCTAGAGTAGCCAGGGCCACGCAGAAGCACTCAAAAAATAAAATAAAAAGGTATCAGAAGCTTTCCCATGCAAAAGTAAGAGTAACTAATTTACCATACTGTTATACTCGCAATTTCAGAATCCTTTCCATGCATTATACCATGTTAGCCCAAGCCTGTTTTAAATGTCATGATTCCCCTACCAGAAACAGAGAAACAAGATGTAAGTCAGGTCACCCCTTTGTAACCCCTTGTACCATTCATGGAGAAGAATGATTCAGCTTGTCTGTGTGTTCACAGAGCAGGATAAAGTTCCAGAGGATTCTTCATGATAGCATCTCTAGATTCAAGACTCCTTATTAGTATTTATTGAATAAAACAATGAAATAATCACAAAATAAGAAGGAAAAAACTCAAATTTATTGAACTCTTACTACAACTATTCCTTATTTGCTTTTGTTACCCCAATCAATTTCTACCCTTTTCTAGAGTGTGCGTCTGTGTGAATGTGTGTGTGTGCATATGTGTGTGTGTGCATATGTGTGTGTGTTTATGAGTGTAGTTTCTTGAAACAATCTTGTTCAGTATGTTTGACTGACATTTTAAAGCCAAGACTAGACTGAACTCATGACAATCCTTCTGCCTTAGCCTCCAAAATACTGATAGAATAGGCATGCGCCACCACACCTGTCTGGATGTGCATATTTCACACAAGACCTCCTAAAATTTGAAATGTTCCCCCTTTTTTTCTTTTAGATCTTTTTTCTGGTTTCCTGAAATATAAAATGAAAGAAAACTGGTGTTATACCCACGAGTTGTTACATTAGAAGTCAAGGATAGGGATGTTCCTCACAGGTAAAACACTTAACTGACCTGTGTGAGGCCCTAAATTCCATGGCTAGAAACAGAGAGATGTGGAGAAGGAGGAGGTGGTGGAAGAAAGAAAGAAAGAAAGAAGAAAACTGTCTTGAAGTAGCACGTGTGTAGTGTTTACCTCACTGTGTAACAAAATAAAGCCTAGAGAGATGGGAAAGAGATCACTGGTTTCTGCCTTGTCCGAAGAGGAAGAGTGAAAATATGGAGTGCAGGAAACTTAGCAGAGTAGTGAGATTATAGTGTAATACTTTAATCCTGACAGCATGATGGTACGCATGTAACAAAACCCATAAAACTAAATGACACAAAGAATAAACCCAAATGTAAATTATGGACTTTTGTTAATAATGATATGTCAAAATTGGTTCATCAGTGTTGGTGAAATTCTTGCCTGTGGTATGTGGAAATTCTGTGCTAAGTGATCAATTTCCCATAAGCCACTTTTTTCTCTACAAAAAGCAATTAAGTCTTTAATTAAGAAAATAATACTGCAAAGCAGGTGTGGCAGCACATACCTAATAATCACCGCACTCAGAAGTCAACAAGTGTCTAGTCTGGCAGGGCAAGTTCCCGGCTCTCTGCTGTAACGGATAGAACCAGTCGCGTGTCTTTGCAGTAAAGAGACGCCATGACCAGGCAACTCTTGTAAAGGAAAACATTTACTTGGGTGACCACCAGTTGAGACACGGCAGCATGCAAGCAGACATGGTGCTGGAGAACGAGCTACATCTTTATCTAGCAGGCAACAGGAAGTGATCTGAGATACTGGGCATGGCTTGAGTATATATGAGAGCGCCCCCCCCCCCAGCCGGTGTCCTCAGTGACACACTTCCTCCAAAAAGGCTACACCTACTCCAACAAAGCCACACCCCAATAGTGCCATTCCTGTGAGCTTAAGGACCCAGCTGCATTCAGAGGACTGGAGTTTGTGGTTTTGAGGCTCTTACTCTTTTAGTTGTTGTTACTATCTTTTGTTGTTGGACATTTTGGCCTAGGGTGACTTGGGCCTCACTATGTAACCAACCCACTGTGGCCAAAAAACGTGAACAATCCTCCTGCCTCAGTCCCCAAAAGTTGACCTTACAGGTTGAGCCACTATATTTGGGTCAAGGATCTCATTTTTGAGGGTCTAACGTTGAACTAGAATATCATATGCCAGGAAATTCCAATTTGAGCAATTTATCAGAGTATTTAGCAAACATTGTCTAGATTTTATTTTGAAGGATATTTTTCTCTTTCAAGCATTTGCAGATATTTTAGAACTATAAATTATCTTTCAAATTTGCCAGAGGAACTCGATGTCTGAAAGGTTCATTCTAGCAATGGTATGGTAATATCAAAGTGCTTCTTTTTTTTTTCATCTGGGATTATTTGGAAGAGCCCTAGTTTACTTTTGGGGGGAAGGGAGTTGGGGAATATCTTGTACTGTGACCCAGGCTGGCCTCCAAATCTCACCGATTCTTCTCTCTCATAAACTCTGTAAGGTGTAGGTTCAGTTGTGCTGTGCTACCAGAGCCCTGGTTAGAATCCCTAGGGAGCTGCTGCAAGGTGTCCTCCCTGGAGGAGTTTGCATTTCCCATCCAGGAGGAGATGAAGGGGAGTGCAGCGAGACAAGACTAGTTTGTACGTCCCAGGGCACATTGTTACATTTAGAAGGACTTGTTGCTCATGTTCAATAATTATCTATTTTCTTTAATATGTACACAATATTACCCTGAGTAGGAATTAATTGTGATTACAGGATTGAATTATGGATTGATCCTGGTATGATATAATGATGTACAGTAAGAGACATTCAGCCCACAGTCCAAGAATCCTTTGTGTAGATTTAAATTGGAACAAATCAAGCGTTGAACTGAGGCAATGCCTCCCTTTGAGCCATCTCAAAATGAATGACAATGATAAGGCACGTGCCCCTTCCTGTGCACCATGTCATAAGATCCCCAGCCTGGAGTCAAGACGGTGTGGGGAAACTTCGTTCTCATCATATATTTGATGTGTAATTTGGGGCAATCACCGTATCTGAACCTTGGGATGTGTATTTCTATAAAATGGAAGTAGTGATTGTCGTAGGTTTCTTATTGTTATGATGAAACACCATGACCAAAAGCAAATTAGAAAGGTTTTGTTTGGCTTACACTTCTACAATGTAGTCCATTACTGAAGGAAGTTACACAGGAACTCAAGCAGAGCAGAAACCTGGAGACAGGAGGTGATGCAGAGGCTGTGGAGGGGGCTGTTTACTGTCTTGGTCAACATGGCTTGCTCAGCTTGCTTTCTTTTAGAACCCAGACCAGCAACCCAGGAATGGCACCACCCAAATGAGCAGCACCCTCCTCCATCAATCTCTAGTTAAGAAAATGCCTACAGACTTGCCTACAGTCAGATCTTGTGGAGGCATCTTCTCAACCAAGGTTTCTTCTCAAATGATTCCTAACTTGTGTCAAACTGATGTAAAAACCAGTTGGCACAGTGATAATTTCATCTTTGCAGGGTTGTAGAGACCACAAAGTACATATTTTCAAATTTATGAATACTAGTGATGGGATAACACAGTCATGTAATTATTGTGTTTCCTCTCCTCCCTTTTCTATTTCCCTTCTCTTTTCTTCCTTTCCCTACCTCCATTCCCCCCACCTTCCCTTTCCCTTTCGTCCCTGTCCCCTTCCCCTCTCCTCTCCTCCCCTTCCCACGGTGACTCACTCTATATCCCAG